TATGATTTTATTTAAATGTATTTGCAAAAGATTCATTTTTCTTGGAAATGTGGTATTATAAGTTGAACTAAATTCAGAAATTTTAAATCTTTAAATATTTATTGCCTACTACTCCTTTCTACTTTGAGAATTCTAATTATATGAATATAAGTTTCTTGGTTTTGACACAGTGAACTATTATGACTGATCTATAAATTCTTTCTTCATTTAAAAAAAAAAACCTAAAACCTTTTAATTAGAATTAGTATAAGACCTAGCGACCCCATTCCTGATTATGTGCCCAAAAGACTCAAAAGTAGGCATTTAGGGACACTTGGCCAAGAGAGCTCCCAGCAGTACCTGTCCTGACAGTCAGAGGTGAAGACAGGCCATGTATGCCAGCTGGTGCAGACCCAACACAGACCCTCTGCATGGAGCAATGCCAGCCGTGAAGAGGCCCACAGCCCTGCTGGATGCTGGGCACAGAGAGCCTAGCGTACCCCCCCATACTCTTTAACTAGATTGGAGTCCCAACCCCCTGCCTCAGCCTCCCAGTGTGCTGGCATGCTGCATACACCACCACACCCAGCAGTGGTGACGGCACTTGCAGGAAGTCTGAGAATGGCATCATGGTGGCTGGGGGAAATCTTGGCCACCAGCCAGGCAGCACCCGCAGGCTCAGTGTGCTCCACACTCGGTAGCAGACCCCCTCAGTTGCGCGGAAAGGCTTGGTTCTCCCAAGGCCCGTATCCATCTCCACCATCTCTCCCTGGCTCTCCTTCTGTCTTCCCTGACCCCTTCTCTCTGTCTCTATTTTGTATCTCCCTGTTTCTTTGTCTCTAACTCTGACTTCATCTCTGTCTGTTTCTGTATCTCTGCCTCTATACAGCTCTCTGTCTCAGCCCCTCTCTCCTGTCTCTGCCTCCCTGCCTCTGTCAGTGTCTCTGCCTCTGTATCTTTGCGTCCCTGTCTCTGTCCTCCACCTGGACTTGAGGTCCAAGGACATGCAGGTCAGAGGCCATGTGGCAGCCACTGCTTGGCCCTGCTACCTTTGAGAATGGTCCGAGCTGCATCTGGATCAGGGTCCAGCACCACACAACCAGGCCTCCCCACAGCTGCTGGCTCCCCGGGCCCCAGTACCTCTGTCAAGCACTGGCCCAAAGATGGCCAGGCTGTCGTTCACAGTGGTGCAGTTCCAGCGGCGGCCACGGAACTGGTGCTGGCACTCCTGGATGCCCACCTTCACGCCCTCAGCCACACCGGGCATGATGTCCACGTAGTTCCGGCAGAAGCGCAGCTGCTTGGGCACCAGGCCAGGGATGCTGGCACAGAGGACCGGATGGGTGCCCAGCATGGAGGACTGCGGCCCGACGGCCAGGGACCTGAGGGAAGGCAGAGTAAGATACGGCCCCGGCTGGGGACGCACAGCCCAAGCCAGGGGTGGGCAGACTCTGAGGAACAAACCTCCACCTCCACCAGGATGGATACCTGGGCTCGGGGCAGCTGGGCCTGGCCCGAGGTGTGACGCCAAGCTTGGCCTTATGGGGGCCCAGCCACCTGGGAAAAGCAGGCTGAGCTTTGCCCATGAACCCCTGCTTATTCTGGAGATGCAGCAAGGGTGTGTGTCCCTTCCAGGGTGCTGGGACTCAGGAGCACTCCCAGGGCCCCACAATGGGAACTCTGGCCTCCTGTCAGTGCAGGTCATTTCTGGCCTGAGACTCAAGGAGAGTGCAGTGTGGACAGTGTCACCAGTGCTGCAAGTCTGCGCTCTGGGACAGCTGAGATGTGCCAGACGTCCCCAGCAGAGCTAGCGCAGACCTGTGTGCACACAGCAATCCCTGTGAAGAGTTCAAGTCCGCAGCTCAGGTAGGCGTGGACGGAGCCCCTCAGGTTCCGGCTGCCATGGACCCAGTCATTTTCTCCCTCGCCTGACGGTTGGCTGTGGTCTGGGGCCAGGCACCCCCACCCAGGTCCTCTGGGCTGCAGGGAGGATGACCTAGAGGACAGGCCCCTGAGCTGGACAGGAGCAGGCCCTGTGTGCTGCCAACCTTGAGCCTACACTGCACCGCTGTACCCTCCTCTGCAGAAAGCTGGGAGCAGAGTACCCCAGCCTCCACAAAACCTCATCCCTTCCCTGGCCTCCTCCATGGCTCCCTCCAGCAGAGAAGGCACAGAGCCTGGCATCAGCTGCAAAACACAGAGGGGCTGGGTGTGCTGAGATCACAGCATGGTGGTGGACAGCAGTAGCTGGGCCCCAGGCCAAGGACCTGTGCGAGCCCTGAGTACAGATGCCTACGGCAAGCCCACGCCCTCCCTGAAGCACAGGGCTCCCTCTCTGCCCGCCTACCCCCAGCAAGTCTCTCTGTAAGGAAGAAATTTTAGTTACTGAATGTTTGCTGACCTAGAGACTCAGAATGAGTGGGAGACAAATAAATGGGTTCAGAGCTAGAAAGCCTCTCTCTCAGCCTTCAGAATAGTGGGGGCCATGCCCAGTTCCGAGGCAAGTGCCTCATTTTCCACACAAAGGCCCTCTCTGGCGAAGGTGGGCATGGGCTAGTGAAAAGGATGCTCACCCAGCCCACCCGGGGTTCGGCCAGGTCTGAAGCCCTCCCCTCCTCCTGGCCTTGCCAGCTGGGCAGGGTAATGTCCAGGGCAGGTGACAGTGTGCTCCTTCGTGCATGGCCCCCACCTGCACAGCTCCAAATGGGTCAACCTCACCCCACCCTCAGTTGACTGGACCCTCCTGTCCAGCCTTGGGGCTAGGGGTAGAGGAGGAGGTGTTCCCCATCTTCTCAGACAGAGGACCTGCTTCCCATACCGTCTTCCACAGCAAGAGCTCTGAGTTCTAGATTTAGCTGGACCTTGAGAACCAACCAAGTCATTAAGACTTATACAAATCCAAACCAGAGCACTGTCCCTCCCCTCCTCAGAGCTCCAGGGTTCACATTTTTAACCCAAGAGGACACGATCTCATCACAGCACACCCAGACCGAGGCCAGCAAGGGAACCCTGGAGGAATCACAAGGCAGGGTCCCCTTGTGTCCCCAGCCACAGTGAACGCACCTGTCCCCCAGAACCTGCTCTTCAGGACTCCGTGCTGACCACTGCCTGGGAGCTTGCTAGCGTGCAGAGCTGGGGAAAGTCTGCATTTGGCAAATGCCCTGCAGGGCCCAGAAGAGCTGTCAGGCAGGGGCTGTGCTGTTCCCAGGTCACATCCTGGAAGGACAAGTGCAAGAGGAGAAACAGGCACAGTGACCACAAGGTTGTGCCAGGCTGTGGGGGAAACTAAGGCGGTTTCACCCCCTTGAGCCATTGCCCAGGAGCAAAGGCGAGAACTGAGCAGATGCACTGAGACTCCAGAGCCCTGTCCTTTACTCATTTGGCCACACAACCACGGTGTCACTGCCACCACATGGACATAGCCCTGCTGCTTACCCACACAAGGGGGGTGTTTGAAATTGGGCCTGGCTCCTGTCCTGCCTAGTGAGTCTAAAGACACAGACATGACACCTGTGGCCCATTTCCACTGTATATATTGGGTACATGGAGGAGGAGGTGGCGCCTCGAAGGCCTGGGGAGAACCTCCTGCCACACCCACCACAACCTGGCAGGACCCAGGTCAGAGCTGTGTGAGGACCCGGGCCTCTGGCAGGTGGCCATCAGGTCAGGACACTCTGAGTTAGATTCACTTGTGTGCTCTGGGAAGCCACTGACCTGGGTGTGTGATTTACCTGGGGTGGCCAGCTCTGCGAGGTGAAGACCACACTGCAGAACCAGGGAATGACCACAGGGAACTACAGACTCCAGCCTGTCCCTGGCAATGTAGCTGAGGCTGAGGAGGCTCTTCCTTGGCTCTGGCCTCAGAAGACCTTGAGCCAGACACAGATGGCCACTGACACCACCGAGCTACAGTCATTGTCCACAGGGCTGGGCCAACTGGCTCCTGTCCTCCTCCTCGACTCCTAGCACTCACTGCACCCCTTGGGCTGGAGGGAGAGGACAAGTATGAGGGGTACCAAGTGGGGGGCAGGACATGTTCTGGGGACATGGCTTCATTGTGTTAGCCCCACTCCTCCTCTCATCATGTATGGGGCACTGTGCGGAGCCATGCATGTTCCATCCAGCCCAGAACCTCTCCTGCTTCAGTGATCACTCAGGCTTGGGTCTTGGAGGGGACCATGGCAAGACAGCAAGGCACATTAGCAGGATGGGTCCATGCTGCCCTTGTCACATAGAATGGCACTGCTAAGCAAACAAGCTGTACCTACAGGCAGCCACCATGTAGCCACAGACATGGGGCAGCACCAAGCAGCACCGTCGCACAGCTGTACTTCCACCACCGATGGTGGGGGGACTCATGCCCACCATTGGACAACTCTGGCTTGCCCTGTGAGGCTTCAGAGCCTTGTTTCCCTCATGAGCAGAGCTTGCATCCTAGCAGGTGCCTCCAGGGCAGCCCAGCTGCCAGTGGCCAAGAGCAGAGCTGGCAGACTGAATGTGGCCTTCTGCACATGTTGACTGACTCTCAGTGCTGTCTTCTTCCCGTGTCAGCTATGCACAAAGCCCCCTTCCCCTCTGCAGGGCTCCAGGGTCCTACAAAGAGCCAGGTGCCCAGGGAGATGAAGGACAGGTGGGGCCAGTGTCCCATCCCCTGCCGGTTAGGGCCCGAGAGATGCCCCAGGCCCAGCAACCACAGTGGTCTTCAGCCTGTGCAGATGTGTGAGCCCCCTTAGACCTTCTGAAAGCACCCACTGACCACTCCTGAGCCCTTCACAGTGGTACAGCTGGTGTCCCTCAAGGACAGAGGCCTCTTGGCAGCCGCTCATATGGAGGCCTGGCACACTGGCTCAGGTAACTCTCCACTTGAACCTCAGATCCCACCTGTCTGAGTCTAGGGAGATCTAGCTCCTGCAGGAGGTGGCAAGTACTGCCCTAGCCCAGGGACATGGAGCCTGACCCACCCTTGCTGCACCCATTTCTTTACACCTGGCCCTGGTGATTCACCCCAGGAGGAATTCATGCCTTCTTTCTCTGGCTACCAGCCCTTCAGTGGCAGATGGTGTCCAGGCAGGCGTGGGCATTCCCACTTACCAACCACCTGGTTGAGCGCCTTAGGTCCCGACTGCTCTGTGGCTATGATGCTATGCTGTCTCCAGATCAGGAGTGTCCAGAATGAACAGAGTGCCACCCCACTGCCCCCAAGGCAGTCCTGCAGGTGCCTCTCCTGGGCCCAGCTGTGCAGGACCTTTTCACACTGTGGTACATCGAGTCCAGGCACTCAGGATAGAGCCCTCGAGGGCTAGGTGGGGACCCAGCAGCCAAGGCAGCATCAGAAAGATCTCAGAAATGCAGAAGACAGCAAGCCTTGATGGTAGCCCCCAGATTTCTGACTCGTGGGAACAACACATATCTGGGTATGAATGGAAACAGCTTGTATCTAACCTGGGTGGGGTCACAGACGCAGCCTGCCTTTGTTTCCACTACTGCTGTCAGGCAGCTGTAGTGCAAGAGAAGGCAAATGCAGCATGTGCACCCATCTCCAGGTCCACAGCCATGTGTGTGCCACACCTACATCCCTACGGCACTAATGGTTTTCTTTCTCCTCCTCCTGCTGAAAGGCTGGGAACCTAGCCAGGGACCCAGCAGATGCTGGCTGTGACATGCAGGGGAAGGACCAGCCCAGGCTCCTGGGCCCAGGCTCTGCTCCTGTTTGGCCCCATGACTCCTCCTGCCCCTCCACTCCCCAAGGTGACACAGCAGGCTGTGTGCAGGGATAGAGGCTCATGGAGAGGCGGAGCCTGCCATGCTGGGCACAGCCCTTACCATGCCCTGTGGTGGGATGGAGTTCCTGGGGCTGCAGCGCACCACAGGTCACCATGGGGCTGGCACCTCCCAGGTCTTTCCTTGGGTAAACTCTCAAGGTTGGGACACTGCGCTATGTCTGCTTGCTTCCTGGGGGCCTCTAGAGCAGCCTCAGGACGTGCTGGGCCACGGGCAGGAGGGTCTGCAGGGCAGAGGTCGTGGCTCTCTGCTGGGCCTAGACTGGGGCTTATCCCTGGATCCCTGTGACATCCTTTCCCCTCTGGGCTTTGGTTTCCCATCTGCAAGTGATGTCCATGAGATCTGGTTCTACTGGAGAGAGGGCTGGGATCAGTGGGAACTCCTGACTGAGAGGGCCCAGTCACCCCTGCTGGCAGGTTTTCTGAGGCCACCCTCTCCAGGTCCCTTGTGTACTCCAGGCCCTACCACCTGCCTTTCTGGGCCTGGTGCTCAATGCCTCCTGCTGCACCTGATGGCAGAGGCGCCTTGCCTGGCCTCTCTTGTCCTGGCATGGCTGGCATGGAGCTGGGCACAGTGAGCAAGTGGGACCAGGAGAGTGGGGATGGGGCTGCAGTCTGGCTAGGTTGAGCCAGTGCTCAGCTGCAGTTCCTGGGCCTGGGGCTCCCTGCAGCACGAAAGAAAGATGAGGTTCCAGCCCAGGGCGGAGCTTAGCATCTTCTCCCTGTTCAGGCTGCCCCACAACTCCCGCCCCCAACCTCAGGTGGGCTTCTCTTCCCCAAAGGAGAAGGGACCGTCCTCATCCTCCAGTGGTGCGGGGCGTCTGTGCCAGGGAGGGGCTGGCCGCCAGCGCCTGCCTCGCCCCGGGCTGGACCGAGTGGGATTACTGACACATACTTTGGGCGAGTCCCGGCAGGCGGCACGGCTGCCATGCCGGCGGCCATGGATTTGCAGCGTCCCGGACGGCAGCAGCAGCGGCACGTTCCAGGGAAAGAATGTGGAAGCCGCATGTGCGAGACACCTCCAGGGTGTCACCTGGGGAGCCCAGGAAGGAGACCGAGGCACGGGCAGCACTGGGAGCCTGTGGGGCAGCAGGACAGTGGGGGCGGCAAGGGGAAAGGTATTCTGCACCCCAGCCGGGCGCTGCATCCAGGTTTCACAGCACTTGATTCAGCCCTCATCCCCACACCCGACTTCACAGTCAGCCATCCCCACACCCGACTTCACAGTCAGCTGCAGGAGGAAGGGCAAGGCCAGGGAGGACCATGATGGTCACGCCTACACAGGGCAGGGCCAGCACAGTGGCCGCACCATTTCTGGGGCTCAGCCTGGGACACTCAGTGTGATGCCAACATCCCTGAATTGTGTCTCTGGGTACTTTGTGGGCAGGGCTGGCTCCTGCATGTCCGGCGCCCGCAGTCAGCCTCAGTTTCTGCAGTTTACAGCCTTCCAGGAGCCACCAACAGCCCTACCTTGTGCCTGGGACGTTGTTCAGGCCATGAGCTCAGGCAGCCTCCACCGGCTCCTTCCAACCACTGATGAAGTGGCTGAGTATCTCTGGAGCTGAGCTTCTCAGCAGGTGGCCCTGTCCATCTTCAGTTCACACTGGGCCACAGCTGAGGGGCAGTGTCTCAGGAGGCTCTTGGAGCCAGGGAGGCCAGGTGGAAAGCACAGGGTGCTGCTGTCACAGGCTGCCCTATTCCACACCTTCTGCTTTGCACTGGTGACCTGTCACTCACAGATGGGATTTGTGGCCGGGGGCCACTGGTGAGGGTGACAGCCCGAGTCCCATCTCCTCTCTGGGCCATGCCGCACTGTTCCTCATGCTGAAGTCTGTGATTGGTGGATGAAATGACCACCAGGCCTTAATGTCCCCCTAAATTTGTGGATTGTACCCACCCACCAGTAGTGGCTGATCACAGGGCAAAGAGGCTCATGCAGACAAGGAAAGAGCAGCCATCTCTGTTGGTTCCCTGTGAAGTCTGACTGTTGCCTGCCTGGATGGCCAAGTCCAGCCCAGAGCCAGAGAGCCTGGCCCTGGAGATCAGCAAGGTGGGCTGGGTGCCTTGGTTTCTCTCATCTTGAAGACTTTAGGTGCTGGTTACCAAGCTTAGTGCTCTTAGGGGAAAGGCAGAGACAGGGAGAGACCAAGAAGAGTCAGGGAACAGGGACAATGAGATAAACAGGAACTCTGCACAGAGACATGAGCAGAAGGAAGAAGAGGAGGGCGTATTGGCAGGCTTCGTGGTGCAGGCTTACTTTGGCAGCTTGGGAAGTGAAGGGGACCCTGCCTGTCTGTGCTGGGAGCCCAGATGCTTGCCTCTGTGCCCTTTCTCTCTTGCTACCTCCTGGGTTGCGGCACTCTCTACACCCTCTTCCTTCCATCCCAAGGCCCTGCCTGAGCAGGGCCTGCAAGCAACAGTGATGTGGTGGATGGAGGCCCATTGGGACAGAGGTGTGGGCTGCTTGTGGCTGAGGCTAAGGCTTTTGTGAAGGACTGGCCTTGGGCATGGACCCTCAAGGAGGGCAGGCACACGGGGCTGGCCATGGGGGAGGCACTCCTTGAGGGGGGAGGTGGCCGAGGGAGGAAGGAGGAATCTAAAGGTGAATAACGTCAACTGCCTGCCCCAGATGCGATCCTAGAAAGAACTGCAGGGAAGAGGGGAGCGCTCTAGCCTCATGGGGCAGATAGAGAGAGCCCATAGTGCACTGCCAGCTCTGTCTGGGGCACTGTGCTCCTGCAGACCCAGCTGGCCCTCAACTACCCGGGAGGGGAGGGAACCCGAAGTGTGGAGGGAGGCAAAGGCTGGGGCAAGCTAGAGCTCCCTGGCCTGGGATCGTGTCACCACAGCTCCCGAGGGGATGCTCTGGAGGTCTGCACAGCTCTGGGGGACCTGGTCTTGCTGAGCCACCAGTCCTTGCACTGCTGCCCTGCCTGGGTAAGCCAGGCCTCCAGCCTCTGTGCAGAGGTGTCTGCTCTGAGCCCTGGAGGAGGCTGGCAGTGGCCACAGTGGACGGCAACATCTTTCCTCTGTCCCTCACCCCAAGAGCCACACCAGCTTCAAAGCCTGACTGCTCTGGTGGAGCTTCCTGGCCTTGCCTCCCGGGTGAGGAGGCTCCCACAGTCTCTTTCACTTTCATATATGAGGGGTGGGAGCGGGCAGGGAGCTGGGCTCTGGGTGTAGAGGAGGGACCAACCTACAGGCTTGGGCTCTCTGCAGCCCAGAGGCCAGCACTTCTCCAGCCTGCTGCTCTCCATGTGGTGAGTGGCCAGGGAGAAGGTGGAGAAGGTGGAGATGGAAAGCAACAGTGCGAATCCAAGGATGCCCAGGTCACCTGCTCCACTTCGCCTGGTGTGCCCTCACTCACTCGTGGACAGCATCACAACTGCCTGGCCTTCCTGGGTAACCAGTGGCCTCCGTCCTGTCCCCAGGGAGTCATCTCAGGGCCCCTTCTCAGGAAGTAGGGTTAGGTGTGAGAATACATTCAAACAATGCAGGGGTGGGGGCAGGGCCCACAGTCTGGTCCTTGCCTTACAGGACTGGGTGGGCTTGAGCACCATTCTGTCTTCCCAGCCACAGAGCTGCAGACCCCTGCGCCTCACTTCTGCTCCGCTTTCCCAGGAGACCACCAGGGAGTGCGAAAGCCTTTTCTGTGCGGGGCAGCTCTATGCAAGGGGTGCTATTCATGTGCTGGGGTGGGTAGGCAAGGCCAGGGACCACCTCCCCCCAGCCCCCGCCCCTTAGGTCAAAGGGCTCAGGGCGCAGGTATCCGAAAGCCAGGCGACAGGAGAAGCGCGGGGGCGCGGGCACTTCTGTGGCCCCGAAAGGTCGGAGGCAGTGGCCGGGTCTAATTAGAAGCTAGGTCAGGAGCGCAGCCCGCGGGGCTCCATGGAAGCTGTCCCACAGCCGCAGCCAGTGAGAAGCGCGTTGGTGTCTCCATGCCCCAAGGCACGCCCGCCTTCCGGACGCTTGGGATGCCGCGGGGGCACGCGGGTTCTCACGGAGTTCCAGGCGCGTCCCTACCGCTCCGCAGCCTCTCCCGGGCCTCTCACGGGCCCTGAGCTGCCCACCCTCCCTTCCCCACCCTGAGCTCCGCGGATCCTTTCCTAAACCATCTCGAAGAGAAAAATTATTATCGGATTAGATGTACTCCGGGGAGCTGCGTCCCCCCTTCCCTTCGGCGTAATTATTATAATTCCAGGCGAGCCGTCGGAACGGGCTCCCAGGTGGGGGAGTGCACACGTTTGTGCGGAGGCTTCTGTCCCGCTCTCTGGCCATTGGCGCCCGCATTCCTATGTGCCGGGGTCTGGGCGCTCTGGCGCTGAAGCCGGAGAAACCTCGCGTGGTGGCAGTGGGAGCTCTGTGCCACTGACCGTCCTGGGGAAAGGTCGCCCACCGTTCTCCGGGGTGTGCGCAAGGAGGCCTTTTAGTTCGTCTGCACTGCGTCCCCACACTCAGGAAGGCCACGCCACTGTGCGCCTCCGCCCAAGGGGAGGACGCGGCACGGCCTCGTCCTCCAGGATGCGGCCGGGTACCCCTCTCAAGCCCTCGAACCCACCTACGGCTTTGTACTACCAGCCCCTCAACTCGCCGAGGGCTGGCCATGCACCGCCGCTCCCTGCCACTCCCCCGACCCGGCTGTCTTTACGTAACTGCTCCTCGAGCTGTTCGGTCTTGTCCCACCGACTTTGTTTTAAAGTGCGCGCACGCTCGTGTGTGCGCGAAATGGTCCCTCTGGAGAGTCCCCGCGACTGTGCCTCCTCTCCGCGCGGTCCCTCTTGTCTTCTCGTGCCGCCCGCAGCCGGGTCTTCGCGCCCTGGTTCCCCTTTCCCTGCCCGACGCCAGGGCGGCTGGAATCTCTACCGCCCCTCTCCCCAGGCCCGGGGAATTCGGGTCCCCGGAAGCTCTGCCACCCTCGTGCCAGGCGCTATCTGAACAGGGCCAAGTGGCGGCGCGCCCAGGGTCCGGGCCTGTGAGGGGACGGCTGTGGAGGCCCGGCTCGGGCGTACTCACCACCAGATCGGGTAACTGCCCAGCGCCTGCCTCAGGCTGCAGAGCACCAAGAAGTATCCAAGTGGAGCCATCGCCGGCTGGGGCGCGCAGGCCGGGGTTCACCCAGAGAGCGCGGGCGCAGGGCTGGCCAGGCCCTGGAGTTGGTAGGGGGGTTGCCGGTGCGCGGGGGTGCGCGGGTGTGCGCGGGGTGTGCCGGTGCGTGAATGTGCGCTGGTACGCGGGCTCCGAGGGCGGCGCTGCGCCAGGTGGGCCGGCTGCGGGGCGGCCGGCCGAGGCC